GTTAGTGAAGAAGGAGCAGAAGTAGACCGGAGGGATCGGAGGGGTCGGAAGTTGATGGCCAGGGATGGATATGACAGTTAGGCTATGAAGGGATTGACGAGGAGACACAATGGCTTCTTGCCGGCGAACTCGATCATGCCTCCAACCTTGTCGAAGCATTCCACTCTCGGTACCCAGACAAGCCTGGTCCCTGTCACATCCATACCAACTCCACCTCACCTCCTCTCCACTCTGCCACTGTTCCGGTCCACCTCCGGTTCGTCCTCCCCCTGCACCTCCACTATACCCTCCAGTTCACCTCCACCTCCGATCTCCAGTACCTTCTCTGGTACCTCTTATCCTCATCCTACACAATTATTAATATTTCTATCTACCCAATATTACTACGGACCTCCTAGGACCTCTGCTCACTCCACAAAGGTTTTCCCACTTCTAGTAGCTGTCGCTAATTCCACCCTTCACCTACCCACTCCACAACACTCGATAAGGCGATTCTCTCACGAGCTCACTGACCTGGCAAGTGGGTAAGTCCCCCTTGGGTTTTCCCCTTTGTTCCCATTTGTCCTCTATTATGTATATAAGACCTGTACTGTAGTTGATGGCACCTCAGTGCAAAATCGACGACTAGACTACCCCCAGAGTTCGCACCCTCCTGTTCTGAAGTTAAGGACCAGACTCCTAAGCGTTACCGAATGTAGGCACAGTGCTCCTCTCCAAGTTGCTGAGGCCATGGTCCCCTCGTTCTCTACCTCCAGCCTCCTTCCAGGGAAAGGTCCAGGGACACTGCCCTCCTCGCATGTTCTTGACAGTCCCAAAGCTCCTTAGGAATCCCGACCCCTCTCCCATCTCTCCTTTCTCTCCAACTCCTCATTTTCATTTTCATTTTTTCTTTTCTGTAAGTACAGCACCCCTTGCCTTATTAATTCTGGGCCTTCAAGGGTTCAGGCCTAGAAGGGGATACTGTCATATCCATCCATGGCCATCACTCTCCACTACCTCCGGTCCTTCCGGATCACCTCCACTCCTTTGTCACTAACCTCGGAGCCTCTGGATTCCGCAACTACCTCCGACTCCCCCGATGGTCACCACCCCCTCAATTCAACATATTACCTACACCTCCCTAAGTACAGAGCCCCAAAGGCCTCTGGACAGCTCCGACGTCTGCTAGCGCACTCCCACCTCTGCTGGGCAATTTAGTTGCTTTCCCTGCAAGCCTACCTTCAGGCCGATCCCTCCTTTCCATTTCTGGGTTATAGCCTGCCACTCCGCTAACCCCATAACCTGACTCATTGGTAATATTCAGTCGGCTAACATGTAACTCCGTTAGCTCCACTCCGCTCGGCCCTGCCATTCATGGGCCTGCCCTCTATGTAACTATATATACATAACTTGTAGATAGGTTACACCCTAGTGATAAAATCAACTAGAGTTTCCCTCTTTTAGTTCTCGTTGCCAGTTAGTAAGTTAGGGCATGGACATGTAACTAGGCACAGTGCTCCTGGTCTAAGTTGCTGAGGCTGAAGCCCTCCATCATGGGGACATCTCCCTCATCCCACATCTGGTCTCTGACAGCCACATACTGTACCCCCTCTCACTAGCACCTGGAATCACCCACAGAACCACCCACAATAGCTTGGCTCTATCCATGGCTGACATGACCCAACTCCACTTGTATATAAACCCAGCCAAAGCAGAACTGAAGAAGCAGCCTTCTTCTTAATTCTGCTTTAGGCAAGTAGCTTAGCTTTCTCACACTAATAATAACTCAATTCTGCTTTAGTCTAAAAAGCACACAGGGATGTTCACCTGAGTAAGGGCCATCCACCATACACTCCTGTAACTCCACTGCCATCTGGACTGCTAGTGCTGGGCACTATGCCAGGACCCTTGCCCTTTTTGAGCTATCCCTGACACTTAACCAACAAATGGTCAGGTCAACAGTCCATGACTGATTTGAGTTGATCTCAAAGCAAATCAAAGCACAGACTCATACCTTGTGGATGTGCACAGCAACATGCAATTTTACTTCTTGCAGAGTGTATGTGTTGGAATACAAGTCATAGTAGGGATCCCACATCTGACACTGTGCTGTTGACTGACATCCCACTATTCCGACACCGCCTCCCCAATGTGACTGTGCATCTGTCGATCTGTAGCATAGCCCCGATGTAGTATAAATACACAATTAGCTAGGCTTAATAATTGTCAGGGTTCAGCACCCTGCCTTAGGGTGCCCCGGACTCCCCACCTACTTTACCCCCTTTATTCTTTGATTGTTGCCTCGCTGTTGCCTTTGTGTGTTGTGTACACGCGCGCATGGGATAGCGTGGGAACTTTCTGAGCAAGCAGCTTGCCCAGAATGTTTCCATGGGTCACAGCCACAATTCTGGGCAAGCAACTCGCCCAGAACATTCCCACGCTTACTGGGCACTGCCACCTGGGTGCTCCCTCCGGGTCACACTACACAACTCTAGGAGCTGTATAGTTGTGGGCATGTGACCCATTCCTTTATATAGCAACCATGCGGGGAGATGAGACCTTTACCCTTCTTCTCATCTCATGCCCCGCATAGGCAAGTGTATATATTCCCTTTCTTTTACTATACATCTCATGCCCTGCATAGTGTGAGGACAGGATAGATGAGGGTTTGTCATATCCGTGCATACCCGATCCCGACCTGACTCCCGGACCTCCTCCTTCACCACCTCTGGAGTCCTGCCCTACTGCTGTCCATTCCGATATTCACCTTCAGTCCTGGCACCACACCTCTTCTCACCTCCCATGCCACCTCCACTCCTCCGTCCCTCTCCTACCCTATCTCCGTCCGCTCCGATACTCACCTCGGACCGAACACCACACCTCTTGCCACCCTCCTCCTACTCCTCCTCCCACTCCTCCACTTCCTCCCCACAACACCTCCACCCTTCCGTCACCCTCCTACTCTTCTCCCGTCCACTCTGATACTCACCCTCGGACCTGACACCTTTTCTCTCCTCCACACCTTTCCTCCTTCCTCCTTCCTCTTTCTCCCCTCTGGCCCTCTTCTGTCGACCCCCTGTCAAGTTACGACCTTCCACCGCTGTCCCGTACTTCATACTCGGACACTGCTTGTACCTTTGCTCCAAGCCTCCATCATAGCTCCTACCTCGGACTTTGACTCCACCTCGGCCTTAGTCCATTGCATTGGTGACCTCATACTACGTAAACACCATTGCTGTCAGAGACCAGATTCGAGACAAGGGAGAGTCTCCGTAGCGGAGGGCTTTGGCCTCAGCGACTTATGCCAAGAGCGCTGTGCCTAGCGACACGTCCGTGCCCTAACTTACTGACTGGCAATCAGAACCGAAGGGGGGGTAACTCTAGTTGATTTTATTACTGGAGTGTAACCTATGTACAAGTTGGATATATATATGGTTACAGTGAAGACGGGTCCGCAATTGGCGGAGCTGAATGGAGCGGAGCTAACGGGGTTAAACATTAGCCGACTGAATATTACCGACGAGTCGGGTCGCAGGGTTAGCAGGAAGGCAGGCGATAACCCAGAAACGGAAAGGAGGGATAGGCCCGAAGGTGGGCTCTGCAGGGCAGGCGAGTGTATTGCCCAGCGGAGGCGGGAGTGCGCTAGCGGACATCGGAGCTGTCCGGAAGTCTTCGGGGCTCCATACTTAGGGATGCGTAGGTAATAAATTGAAATGAGGGGGTGGTGACCATCGAGGGTACCGAGGGGATTGCGGAATATGGGAGCTCCGAGGTTAGTGAGGAAGGAGTGGAGTTAGACCGGAGGGATCGGAGGGACCGGAAGTCGATGGCCGGGGATGGATATGACAATTGCCAATATCCCTTGGACTTTCAACCCCGCCTCCATAAGCTCCATAAGCTCCGCAACCTCCGAGCTCCATGGATCACCTTCAGCACTTTCACCGCTTGTGTCAGGGGACGACTCCCGGGTCCCCATGACCCTCCCCTATGGCCCACAGCCTCAGGTCTGGCCAGCCCTATCCAGGGCACAATCTACTGTGGGTAAGGAGATGAATAGATAAAGCAGTAGGTAAGGTACACTTGCCTACTGTGGGTAAGGAGATGAGAAGGAAGCTAACTTCTCATCTTCCCACAGTGGCCACAATATTAGCAAAACTTCCGGGGATACCCGGAAGTCACATGAAGGGGTAGGAACCGGGTCCGGAGCATGCGGTGTGCGGAGCGTGCGTGCGTGTGGGAAGCGCGGCGGGTGGAAGCGGGTCCGGACACGGGTCCGGGTCCGGGCTAGTCAGGGTGTGTGCCCTGACAGCTTGTAATGTATCTCTCGCGTTTTTCCCTCATCCCTATTTGGACTGCTGCTTCTTCCCATTCTAGCCAGTTAGTCATCATCCCCACTTCCCCTCATCCTCCTGCCCCTCTGGGCCTCACCCTCCTTACCTCCTTTCGGACATACCACAGGTTCTGCCTTATGACCTTTGGTACTGCTCCGCTTCGGTCTTCCCTTTGTTCCCGTTTGGACGCCTTCGTTCTGATTCGGATCCCCTTTGTTTCCTTGTGCTTTTGCCCTCCCATTATATATATCAGCGCCTGTACATACTCGTTTTAGGCCTTAGTCTAAAATCAACCTGAAATGCCCCCTAGAGACTTCCTGCTCGCCTCCTATGAAATTAAGGACCAAATGGACAAACAGCAATGGCACAGCGCTCCGCTTGAGTCGCTGAGGCCAAGGTCCCTCCTTGCTAAGTCTCTGGTTCCCCTCCGGAATCATCCACCCTCGCCTAGTTCTAACAGGGTTGAGGTCAGGGAGCCTCCGAGTCCAAGGCCGGGCCCTGACAATAATGATTATCTTTTGGTCTTACCTCAGGTCCCTTCATTATAGCGTGAGTGTAGCTGCAAGTGCTACATCACTAACTGACTAGTCTTTACAACAGTATGATTACTGACTCCAACTGGGTGATCATACATTCCACAAGTGGATTGCATGTTGCTGTGTGCATGAGTCTGATCACAGTGGTCCAACACACAAACATCTGAATGCACATAAAAAAACAACAACAAATCCAGAACAGTAGGTAATATGTATAGACATATTCTCAAGGCCAAATAGAATGCAAAAAGAATTTGGACATCACAGTGATTTTAATTCTCTAAGTCCTTGCTCAGCTGACAAAATAGAACCCTTGACCAAGTTCCATCCGAAAGAGCAGAGGCTTTGAGGCAGCTCATGTACAGGAGCTTCAGTAATAAGGTTCCCAACTCCCCAAAGATCAACCTCTGCACCATGGCCATCCTCAAATACTTGTGGTGCATGTGTTTCAGAATCCAAATTGAGGGCTGCTTTCGTTGGAGGGATTGCAGCATCTTCCCAATCAATGAGGAACCACTGCTTGGAATTGGTGAGGCTTTGCATGACATTTGGCCAGCGAATATCTCGATGAAACACCGGTGGTTCAGTGTGTGATACCTGCAGACTACATGAACTCAAATTAATAATCCTATATAAATACTTACTTGGAGAGCCTCAAGAAGACAGATGACTGCATTTTTAACATCTTCAGCAGACTCTGGACCATGGTAGTAACCTCGAGGTGCGAGTTCCACAAAGCAACCATATTCTGGATGGGACATTCCAAAGTTCGTAAGGGTGTCAACATTTGGCACATGTTTTTCTTTGAGTTTTCCATAGATAAATTCAAGAAAGGAAATCTTGAGTTTATCTTCTGTGGGATAAGTCTTCCGTATCTTGTCCCTGAAAAATTCAACACATTTCCCATTTTCACTAACTTCACGGTTAGGTTCAATGCAATCAGGATACACAAATGAAACTCACCGTTCCAATATAAACATATCAGTATCCACATCTCTGTCCACCATATGTTCTAATGCCCGGAGAACCTTGACCAGTCTGATCATCGTTGTCGCATTTCTCATACGTCCCCGCCTTGTTGACAGATCTGCCTTTAGAATGTCTTGTACAACAATTTTTTGAACTCCCTGTGCATTTATGACTGGCTGGATAGCTACAAGCGTGATATTAGCACCAACGGCATAGTAGCCTAAATACATGGGTCAACAACAGGTGGTGTTGGAGAAGAATCACATACCGAGCACATATGGAGCACGGCCATAGGCCCAGCGAGTCTTGTCAGCGAGCTCCTGACGAGGATGTTTTCCGGAAAACGATGGACATTTCTCCTCCCCCCGGAATAAGCAGGCCGACTCCAAGAGGAGACCCAAATCAGGGCGGAAAGATCCAGTATTCGTGCTGCGGTTGCTGTTGCGTATCCACTTGAGGTCGCCAAGACCCGCCTTGAGGATGTTCAGAATGTTTTCGTCCCAGAATGAAATGAAGGAGTTTTTAGTTCCATTTGAGTCCGGTGGGTGGCCGTGAATTGCCACATCTAGTAGGCGCCAGACAAAGCTAGCCGTCTCATCCTCATTCTCGATGAAGAGCATCTCCAGGTCTGCTGGAAAACAAAGGAGCTTAGGACTACTTGGATCTGTGTGCAGGAGGCTCCGCCATTGCGGATTGGAAATCGGGATTTTTTCTTCGGGCTCAAGAGGCGCGTTCAGATAGACACCCAAATCGGTAACGTTCAGGATTTTTGGGAGGGGAACGTTCCATTTAAGGTACAGCTTTGCTGAAATATCGACTGCAGACGAGTGAGGAGTTTGGCCATAAAATACAAAGTCGCAAAGACCTACCCGAATCCTCACGCTTCCTCTTTCCGTTATGAGGCACTTGGACGATGAGATGGAGATGCCTTTCCTTGGGGTCTTCCTGCCAGTATTGGGATATCCTATCTTCAGGGTCGAGAATCTGCACGGGGCCGTTTCCCTCCAGTGCCTCGTCGCATTCAGGATCAGGGAACTCAATTGCCTTTATCCTTTGACGAAAAGCTAGTTTTTCGGCTCCTGTAACCCCCCTTGGTATCGGCGATGAGAACTTCCACAACACCAGCTGGTTTGCATCCAGATGATCTAGTTGGCGGGCTAATTTAGACTTGATAGCGTCGCAAAGGAAGTCAACAGATTCGCCAGGCGATACATTCAGAAGAAACACGGCACCGAGGGGGTTTCTTCCACGGTCAACCGCCAAGCAAGTAAGAGTGATCATGGGCAACTGTTCTAGTGTTTAGCAGCGACAAGCGGCAACAGCCGCTGTGAAGCCGTTCGCCAACTTCACCAAAATAATTAGTAATCATAATTGTATTGACAGGAGGAATGGCTCCAAATATCAAGCAGTCACAGAGGCTGGAGGCCTGGCGATGAATGCTGACATCACAAGAAATGACTCACTCGGCTTGCACCGAGATGCGAATATTGACGACCATTACGTCAAACTAATCTCTCACGCCAGGAAGAATAGCAACACCAGCACCTGCAGAAATAGATCCATTCTCCCAGCCCAACCACAATGCCCCTGGCTAGTACGATTTCCGACCATGAATATTTTTTCGGTGTGCCCGGACACGAGTTCGCCCAACGACGATGGAAACTGTTCCCTGAGCTGCATGGCTTCATTCACTCACATCCGTGAGCGCCGGAAAGTGGTTACATTCCATGTTACGTTGCCAACTGTGACATCTCTGCGACCCAGCCGTTTGCACGCTACAGGCCTCGCTCGTGTTGCTGTGAATTTTCGTAAAACAAAAATTTCTGTTTCCCTTCGACCGTAGGCTTGTTGGTTACCCAGCACTGGTGGCGACGTCGAACCATCATCAAAGCAAGATTATCAATGCAGCGCAGGCTCGACACCAGTGCCGCGAATGCGAGAGAGGAAGCCGAATGCAAAGGTTTCGTCGCGAAACTAATGATAATTCGCGGTTTCCGAGCAACGGCGGAATCTGTACGTGCGATTCCCATAGGCATTGACAGCCCGTTCAGGGTCCGGTGGACCGTCGTGCTCGACGGCACCGCTACATCGGCTTCGGGCGTGGCTCGTCGGTTCGGGCCTTGGCATTGATGGATGCGGTGCAGTTTGGCGGTTTTCGTGAGTGGTCCAACGCACCATGCTCGAAGTGCTTCGCCCCCCGATGCGCAAATCCGGAGCCTTACCTGCTTGGATGGAGCGAACATGGCCAACGCTCTGATGTCCTGATGTCTACTTGTTCAGACGTCATTTATGTGTGGTGAAATTGCCCAATATCGGCAGCGTTCAACGCTCGCCTTTTAGCTTACATCGACACAGCCCACCCCTTCCCATTGTCACTTCCACCGGCCAATATAGGTGCGATGAAACTGCCACATGTTAGCAGTGTTCATCTCACCTCTTTTCTCGCACCAACATCCTGTCGTTTCGGCTCCATGCATCTTCGGTGGCTTTCGCCATGCCACCTGCCGACCATCCTGGCATACCTGGCTTCCAATAACATTTTCACGAGCCCCTTCCCCTTTATTATGAAGGTGCAAAAAAAATACAGTCATGTGCCCTCGAAAGACAACACTAGTACTTGTTGTAAGATAGACGACTTTGTGACTCTCCGGATGCAAATTGTTGTAAAACTCGCATCCCATTCAAGCCCTGCCTCAACGCTTTTGGGGCTCATGTGAGAGCTAAAGGCAGTAGAACTAACATTGTTTTGTAACTTCTTGGTGTGGGAATTTTAATATCTGTCCTTACTGTTGCACTGAATGTAAAATACTTTATAATGATATATTGAACATCCCTTTCAACTCTAAACCCGATTCCCAAAAAAAAAAAAGAACCAGTTTCGGGATTTGCTGGTGTGGACCGCGGAAACTGAATTGCGGTATTTGCCGGGTACAAAAAAGGAAACAAAGTTGATCACTCCCTTTTCCCTCAGGGTAAGGAACTGCCTTGCAAAAAAAAGGAATTTTGATTAACAGAAAGTGATTTGGTTAGAGAAAATGTCTAAGCCCCGCATGCATCCGGTGCCGAGTACCCCATGCAGTGCCATGTCGCCAGTCATGCCATGCATCCCCACTTGTACCTCTCTTTTTAACACTCAGGATCACCCACAGAGCCACCCACAATAGCACGGCTCTGTCATATCCGTACATACCCGATCCCAATCCGACTCCCGGACCCCCATCTTCACCACCTCCAGAGTCCTACCCTACTGCCATCTGTTCCAATACTCACCTTCGGACCTGACACCACTCCTCCTCTCACCCCTCATGCCACCTCCACCTTTCTGTCAGGGATCACTTGTCAGTCCGAGTCAAATATCGCCCGAAAACCTAGTCGTAGACAAAGCTGAGGTTCCAACCCTCAGCGGCACATAGAGCTATATACACGAGTGACATCAATCAATCGGAAGAGATAGGATCAAAGGAACTAAACAATGATCCGATAGAAAACGAAGTGAATAGAGATGAAGGAACACTCGGATCAGGGGGCAGAGTCGGATCAGGAGAAGGTGAGGGATTTACGATATATGAGGGCCAATGCGGCTACATGCAGTGATATAGTCTTACGCGATATCGATAGGGTAACAGAGAACCGCTTACGCTATGTCCCCTGACACTTCCCGTCCTTCTCCTACCTTACCTCCCATCCGTTCCGATACTCACCTCGGACCGAACACCACTCCTCTCACCACCCTCCTCCTCTTACTCCTCTTACTCCTCACAACACCTCCACCCTTCCGTCACTTTCCTACCCTTCTCCCGTCCGCTCCGATACTCACCTTTGGACCTGACACCTTTCTTCTCCTCCACTCCTCACCCTGCTCCTCTCTTCTCTCTCCTCCCTCTGACCCTCTTCTGCCGAACCTCCGCCAAGCTACGACCTTCCGCCACTGTCCCTCACCCTGTACTCGGACACCGCTTGTACCTTCGCTCCGAGATCCCGTCATAGTTCCGACCTCGGACTTTGACCCCACCTCGGCTTAAGTCCATTGCATTAGTGACCTCATACTACATAAACACCATTGCCAACATTCCTCGGACTTTCAACCCTGCCTCCGTAACCTCCGAGCTCCATGGATCATACCTGTTAAAAACCCGGGTTGTGGAAGAGGGGGTAAATGCGTGAGTCTGAATGCAGGCGGGGCTCAACTAGAGGGGGGTCCGAGGGCTCCGGTAGTGAACTGAAGCTTCTCAGGGAGCCCGGTTCTGCTGGATGGTACAAGAGGCTCTAAGAAGGACGTGGCCTCAGCGACTCGGAGGGAGCGCTGTGCCTCTGTTACATCTCAGTTAGTCCTTGTATTTCTTATGTCTGAGGTGTCTTGTAGAACAGGGACAGGATTCACTCAGAGGGACTTTGGGTGGCATTTTAGTCGAGATTAGAACTGAGGAACTACAGGTTCTAATCTACGTGTATTTATAAAGGAGGATGGGGAGGACTTTAGTCAAAGCCCGAAATGACAAAATGGGGAAAACACCGAAAGGTACCGAATGATACCGAGAGGTACCGAAAGGTTCCGAACGATATCTAAAACGGGGAACCGAGGTGTCGGGCCAAGGAGGGCGGAGTTGGAGGCCGGAAAATGAATGGGGAAGACAAATGGGTAAAGGGGGTTAGCCGACTGAATGGTAGTAAGAAGGTAGTCGTGCTAAGAATGGAAGATGACTAATAAGTGATAACGTGAGGGAGATCACCGAAGGATGCGGGTAGCTCCGAAAGCGGAGTTGTGTATCCAAAGGATGTTGGGTGACTCCAATAAATGAAGTGGGTGGAGGAATGGTTTAAGGGCATGTCACGGGATGTCGGAGGTCCGTCAGGATATCGGAGCGAATCTGGGGTCTCCGAATGTTCCAACTCGGGACCGAGGTTCCGGGATGGGAGTGGCCAAGGTTCGGTGTGCCGCAACCAGACCGGAGCTGAGACAGTCAGGAGGGAATGTGACTTGGAGAGTGGGGAGGCACGGCGTAGGGGATGGTGAGGTTGTTAGGAAGGTGTGATGTGGTGGGAGTGCGCGGGGTCGGGATTCCGGGATATGACAATACCCGGCACTTTCGCTGCTTGTAATGTATCTTTCGCGCTTTCCCCTCATCCTTATTTAGACTGCTGCTTCTTCCCATTCTAGCCAGTTAGTCATCCTCCCCACTTCACCTCATCCTCCTGCCCCTCTGGGCTTCGCCCTCCCTATCTCCTTTCGGATGTACCACAGGTTCTAAACCTATGACCTTCGGTGCCACTCCGCTTTCATTTTCCCTTTGTCCCATTCAGACGCCTTTGTTCCGATTTGGACCCTCTTGTCAGGGACAGCTCCGAAAGCGGCAAAGTCCCGGTGTGAGGGACCTGATGGGACAGATGTCAGCTGTGCGTAGTGGCAATCCCATCATGGGGGAGTGTCCCCGACCACTTAGTCTGAAGTGGGAAGTTGAGAAGAAGGCTGCTTCTTCTGTTCCCACCCCAGGTGCTATTATATACATGCGGTCAGTGTCATATCCATACAATCCTGACCTCCGTTCCGGGCTCCCGGAACTCCGAACCTGACTTCCAGAGTCCTGCTTCCCTTCTGCCACCTCCTCCTTGCCGATTTCCAAGAGGTTATCCCACCTCCGGCTCCAACACCACCTTCGGTCTGACTCCGGAACATTCCGGGCCCGACCTCATCCTCAACACCTTCCAGACGAGCACGCAACACCTATGCTCCCGACTCCGGACCTCCACTCCGGAATCCCGGTTGTGTCTCCATCTCCGGAACCTCCGGTCTTAGCTCCGACCTCGGACTTAGACCCCACCTCCGCTTATACCCATTGTATTGGTTAGCTCATTCCATTTAATTACGTTTGCCAATATTCCGGAGTTTAACCTCCGAGTTCGGACTTTCCGGACTTACTCCGGACCTTGCAACTATTGCATTGTCCATTTCAATTCCGCTATTCTCCCTCATTCCTATTTGGGCTGCTGCTTCCTTCTATTCAGTCAGCTAGCCATTCCCGACTCCCATCCTCCTTCCTTCCTTCTTGGGCCTTGGCCCTTCATTCCTCCTTTGGGAAACACCATTGAGTCAAACACTTGACCCTCGGTGTTGTTCCTCTTTCCATCTCCCTTTGTCCTACCCTTGTTCCTTTTGATTCCGGACCCCTCCTTATATACAATGTACCTAGTAACTTGTAACCTCAGTCCAAAATCGACATGAATTCCCCCCAAGAGACTTTCCCTCTGCTAGATCTGAAATTAGGGACCCCTAGGACAACCAGCAATGGCACAGCGCTCCGCCTGAGTCGCTGAGGCTGAGGTCCTTCCACGCTAAGTCTCCAATTCCACTCCAGAGTCGTCTGAATCCGCCCATTCTAACAGTCAGGGTCACGTGGGGGGAGCCATGTCATCTCCGTGCACTGCCGGACCTCTCTGGGTGTCTCCACAGGAGATCCTGAAGGTGTACCGCTCGGTAGGCGGGAATGTGTGCAGCGGGTGCAGCGATTGGGGGAGCAGCATTAGGTGTGTAATGATACATAGAGAAAGGGGAAGTCGGCCGTGGAATAGAAATAGAGACAAAGAAGAAAAAGGGAGAGGAGGAACAAGGAGTGGTAGCAGGGGGAGCGGAGTAGGGCAGCACAGCGCAGGGTGTGGCGCCAGGTCAGGTGGGGTGTGCCCTGACACCTCTTCGTTTCCTTGTGCTTTCACCCTCTCCATTATATACCAGCACCTGTACATACTTGTTTTAGGCCCTTAGTCTAAAATCGACCTGAAATGCCCCCTAGAGACTTCCTGCTCAATGCCTCTGAAATTAAGGACCAAATGGACAAACAGCAATGACACAGCGCTGTAAGATCTACCACCTTAACGAGAAAGAGAGGGGGCCACAGAGTTGGGAGTGCTCAGGGGAGGTTCGGATGAAGAGGAAGGGGGGGGGAAATGGTCCGGTTGCAATGTGACAAAAATGAAAAACTCGTAAATCTCACTAGAAATCAAACTAATGGGAACTCTGTCCCTGCAGTATGTCTTGAGCCTCTTTGGCTTCGTATTCGCCGCTCTGGGCGCTGGTAACGTCTGCTAAAACTTCATGTTCTTGTTGGGGAGCACCTCTCTCTGTTGGGGGAGTCCTTTTTGTAAATACAGGAAAGAGGGTAACTATAAATATGAAAGAAATACGTGGAAATCCGAATGATCCGACGGGTTTATGATGGAAACAGATCCACAAGGAACACTTAAGAAAAAAAGCAATATCAAAGTAATATTGATGTTGTTAAGGAAATAAAGAACCATGGCGATCGCCTCAACCGCTGAACCAAGTGCGTCACTCGTAACATTGTTCGACTCTTGTTGACAAGGGCTTTCCAACGATACCAAATTCGTCCGGATCGGTGGAGAATTGATGGAGATATGGAGGATGTGGTGGAATATGCGGGTGACAGTTGCCCAATTTGGAAACTGATGGTTGTCCGTGGTCAGGAATGGCTTGAAAAAAATTGGAAAATATAGGAAACATGGAAGGG